GTTGTATATTGCGTCGCCCCCACATCGGAGCGTGCACGTGTATGTGTGCGTGGAAGCAAAGACCCATGTTTATGGTCGCCAAATCTTTGCCAAAATGTTTATATTTTCAAACATTTGCGGACAAAGATTTTGTTTCACTCTTTATGGGAGAAATCTTCGGCAAAATATTCTCAAACATTTTGAAATGGGGCAAAAGTCGCTCGTTTGACAAAATATTCTCAAACATTTTGAAATGGGGCAGGTCGCGAAAATGTTTCCCAAGAGCGGCGGGATTAGTAGACGACCGCCCCTTCCGTCCTAAACACCAACCACTCACTGCGTAGCGCACACTCAACGTAGCAAGCTCATAGAGGGATCCGGACAACCCTAGAGTCACCGTGTCAATGTTTTGCCGGCTGATACATGGCGGGAGCTCGTCAAGCGTGCACAAAAAAACAAGCAGACAGGGGTGGTTTGGAGGGCACGGAGAAGCGTGGTTTGTGTCTCCGAACGGCAAAAAGTCGGCTGCTTGAGAGGAGAGGTGAGTACAAAACTATCCAGCTCTCGTCCTCTAGACCATCGATTCATGTTTTGTTTTCTTGGGCGTCTTTTCCATCAACGGCTCTCATCTGGGTTTGCGTGATTCAGCTGTGGACGTGCTCAACAGGCAGGGAGGCGGGTCGCTGTGAACTCGATGTGTTGAAAAAGTCTTTTTTGGGACGGAGGAACATGCCCTCTATATTCAAGTGAAAAATAGACAAAAAAAAACGTTGTGTCCACAACTTTGCGCGCACAACGATGTGCCTCCCTGCCGGCTGAGCGCGGCCACTGCCAACCCACGCACAACCGGGTGAGAGTCGTTGATGGAGAAGACACCCAAGAAAACAAAACATGAATCGATGATCTAGAGGACGAGAGCTGGATAGTTTTGTACTCACGCTCTCAAGCCGCCGACTTTTTGCCGTTGGGAAGCGCTGACGCACGTTTTGGTCTCTTTTTGACACCGAGAACATTTTTTCTCGCAAGCCCGGAGCGCTATCGCCACATATTGGCGGGCACAGCATCAGCTCAGTGCATCAAGGGTTGTGGGGAGCCCTTCGCGAGCTCGTCACATTCAGTTTCCATGACGCATTTGTGGTTTGTCTGTCCCAAATCGTTTGGTAGCAGCAGACCACGATTCCCGCCGCACGTGCGCATAAAAACGGTACTCAAATGTTCCTCTGGCAGATATTCGCGCGCAAATGTTTGACAACATTTGAAGATTTTTTTCAAAGATTTGGCGACCATAAACATGGGTCTAAAAGACCTCACGAAATCGGCTGTTGCTTGCGGATACGTGGAGGTATACAACCAAAGAAGCCACATGGGGTTGGCCATATTTTGGATCGCCACTATTGATGCCGTGGTCAAGCAAGAATTGGGTGCCTTCTCATGTCGCGAATTATAGGAAAATTCCGCCGCATCACGCTGCTGTATCATAGCATGCCTCTCCCACTGCTGGCGGAGTGCTGTGGGGTTGAGCGCTGAAGCTAGTTGGTTCCGACGACAACAGCGAGTTCGGTGGTGTGTTCAATGTGTAGCAAGGCTTTCGGTGCTGGCTACAACAGTATAGCTCATCTACGGCGCATGAACTGCGACCTCCTGTTTTACCCGTCCCGTCAGAAAATTTCGCAATCGGCCGGACATCTGCAGCGCGTGCCAGCGTGAGGATGATGGTTCGGGCCTCCGCCAGCCAAGAAGCAGGGTTATGGACAGAATCGAAGACTTTACCAACGAAGGCTGCCTCTCTGACAAGTTCAGTTAGCTTTGTCGACCGACCATCCGTTTCTCCTTTGCAAGCGTGCGGGTTGCTTGCTGGATCTCTTCGTGAAACAAGGAGAAGCCGAAAGAGCCGCCATCAGATCGTCGACCAGGGGACTGTCCTCTTCATCTAATCGCAAACGGAAAGTCGCTTCGCACGTTGCTGAACCGGCCAAGCATTTGAAACGGCGGCCTCTTGACCGCTATTGCACGTCGCCCGAGGCGGTTACGGCGTTGCTTGCGGAGGTAGAAATCAAAGGGCTGGTGCTAGACATGAGCGGCGGCCCTGCTGACGCGGTCGCCACCATCCTGAAGTCTACATGCTCTGTCGTAACTAACGACATCCGAAAAAGGTGACGAGCGGTAACTCCCCTTGGCTGCTTGCTGTTTTTATCTCTTCCCGGCCCTCCTCAATAATATGCACGGAGTTAAAATTGCATCGTTTCCCTCTTCATGTGTTTTCCACGTTCTTGACGAATCGGTTGAGCGAAAATAATCCTGAGCGCACGTCCGCGGCAGACACCAACCTGGGTGCCAGTGCCCCGATGTTCGACATGGATTACCTCTCCGGTGGCGTTCAGCGCCCAGACTGGGTTGTCACCAGCCCCCTTACAAAGGAGCAATCAAATATGTCAAGGCGGCGATGGCGGTAGCTGAAGAAGGCTTGGCCATGAAGTTGCCGTTGTCTTCCATGGAGCCTTGTGGGGATCGGGGTGTGTGACTTTAACAAAACCCACCCTCCGCGTGCATTTTCTTGAGGAGGGCAACGTACACGCCGGCACACATCATAATGGGGGGATTGTGGGGAGTGTGGCGTCAAAATGAATCGCGTGATGTTCCGACGAGGCTTGTCTTTCGCCCCTGAGAGTTGCCCGCGTCACTCGATGCGAGCAGCTTTCATCTGAGTGGGTGTAGTATTTGAATACGCCCTTTTAGAGTTATTGGTTGGAGTGGCGGTAAGTTTGAGAGGGTTTCCCGGGCAATATTCCAGGCCGCCTTTCTAGGGAAGTTGTATATGCATGTCCTAGCTTGACTATTCATGCGGGTGTACCGCCTGTCAGTGTTTTTTTTTTCCAGGTGGATATGTGTTGCCAGCCTCTGTTTTGAGACATTGTGTTGGGGTTGTTGTTTAGCTAAAAAATGGATAAACACCGGCCGAACCTCCACTTAATTTTTGCTCTTCAAAACACCACACACACCACGCAGCATGTCATGCATACACAAAAACCAAAAATTCACTTGTGGCCAAACCTGATCGATGATCAATTGGATCCCCCCCCCCCTAACGCCTGGTCACGCAAAATAGGGTGTTCGACATCGGCATCGCATTGGAAAAACAAATCAGCCATCCTGCTCCTCAAAGCATACAAATCAGAATCTCGTCAACATATCAACGCTTTCCTCCTCCATGTCTTCAAGACTATCATCGTCGCCACCATGCGCAGCGTCAGCATCCCCCTGCTCCGACACGTCATCCATACCATCTCTCAACGTTCCTTGTCCAGACATTTCGCGTATGCGCTCTCCACTAGACCTTTGCCCGGACGTGTCATCTTTCCGGACTCTCCGCCCCGTGGCCATAAGGCGCATCATCTACCCCACTTGCTATTACTTTCTTTGGCCCGCCTTTTCCACAGGAGAAACCGCAATTGCACATTGGCGAGCAAAGACCTAACCCCACCTTAGTGCAGACACAACGATAACATATTTTGGCTCCTTAGGCGGGTTTATTCGGAGAACACTTACACTTGACAACAGCAATACCCTGGCCCGGTTTCACAGTGACCCACGGCGAACGGCGTAGGTGCATTAAGGCGTGTCCATCTACCTGGTCCTCGATATACTCCTTCCCATCCCAATCTGGGACAGGAATGGGATATTTCCTCTCGTCCAACTGCGTTGACAACCAATATCTCGTCATCCACACCATTCGTTTAACTTGGAGATCAATCACAACGTACTCGGGCGCTTGATTGGCTCTCTTGAAGTGCGAAACTTGGGTCCACTGAACAAGGTGGTCTATCCATCGCTCCACCTCGTCAGGGTGACCATCCCGCTTCGGATCGTTTACCTGCCGACCCGGAAGTGCGGGGTCGAACAGCCTCTTGTTCTTTACGAAATATGCTAACCCAATAAACTTTATGCACTCGCCCTCATCCCACTGCAAATCGCAACCTTCGCCCCCCACTACAGATACACCACCTAAGCGGTTTGACAAAGATGTGCACCTGTGGGTTCCTGCAACGTGCAAAAATAGCTGTTGAACATCGAATGTAACGTCAACGAGTGCAGAGTGGGCGAAAAGTCGGTACCACCCACGCCGTAGGCGGCAACCACCGGTAAGCACCGTTGGGCCCGTGTGAAACTAGCCGGCCAGTCCAATCCTGTAATGCCGTTGAAAAGGTCCTGCGTATCTGTTCCGCCGTGTCTACCGACATGATCTCCACCCTGTAGGCTCCCCTGTTTTCCTCGGGTTCACAGCTCAGTCGGCGTGAAGCTTGCCAGGCATGGTGCAACGCCTGAAGTTCCCCTTCCCCAATGCCGTTCTCCTTATCCTCGGCGATGCTGGCATCTTCGTTGGTGTGTCACGATTGATGCCGGAGGTGGGATATGGATTGATACTACAGGATGAGGTTTGACGGTGCTTCCCCCTCAAAATGCAAGTCGGTTTCAAAAGGAATAACTCCACACATTTGGAAGCTGCGTGTTCTGCTACCCTACGAATTATATGCCGTACAACTACTACCGCATGGCGGGGGCAGACTCACCCTAACGAGTTGTTGAAGTCTGCGCTGGCCACTGGTTCGCCATCGATTCGGAGCTGCATCCTACTCACGTGATCCTCGGCAGAGCTCATGCCTTGGGACCGTTTAGCTTTGTCGCAGGCACGGGCCAGGGTCTCCCGCAGATAACGGCAAATCACGGCGAATATGTTGTCCCGATTTTGCCTATTCGACGGGAACTCTTGCCACTTCTCCGGCCGAGGGGTAGGGTCGTCGAACTTGAAGCCTACCTTCGGCGAATCCCATAAAGGATCGGCGTTGGTCTTTGCCTTTTTTTTATTGTGCCGAGATACTTGTGTAAAACGGCCGACTGAACTGCCGACGCCCCCTCGGTCGCGACGATGCCGGGGGCCGCAGGCGTGGGCCCCGTGGTGGCTTCGTTTTTCGTACCCCTTGCGGCGTGAGCAAAAGCTTTGACCGGTGGCACTTTTCCCCTCTTCACTCGCGACCTGCAAGCTTAAGCACCATGTCGTGTTCCTTTAGATCGAAGAGGTTGGGAGAACGGTACTCGGCAAGGTACCCGTCACGGCTCAGGAACTCGGGGCTCTTCAGCAGCGCCATCCGCATGGCTGCTGTACGGAGGGCAAGCGCACCACCCCCGGTGGAACACCGTTCGTTGAGCTCCCCGGAAGCAAGGGCGATCCAAACACAAGCACCCGACCAGTCGTTTGCAACGGGAACCCCCACCCGCCCACCATCGGATGTCGCGGCCCCTTCCAAACACCGACTGGCAAGTTCGTCGGTGTCCTCAGGAAGGTTGAAACATCCCGTATCCCCCTACACAATCATCGGGGGTGGTTTCGTGGCGGAAAACAATTATGCCAGGAGCACACGGCTGGCTGTGGTTTCATGTTTTCCGACTGGCATTCCTACCTCACCACAGAAAAAAAATGCTGCAGAGGACAACCCCCCTTTCCGTTGCTGAGCACAACACACTGCAATGACGCTTCGTACGGGCGTACAAGGGATTGTTTTTTTTGCCAATGGGAGGGGACGTGCCACGTCGGTTCCTGCTTTCGTGGTAATACATGAAATATCGCGCCCTTGCCCATAAAAAACTGCATTCCAACATTATTTTCCCTGGCGGGGCTCACCTGTCGGATGGGGTTTATCTTGAATCCGGCAAAGGGACCGGGCAAACTGGCAGCCGTAGAAACTAGGTGTCGGACCTTTGCCTCATTCACGCCTTTTCCCCACGCGCGTTCACCACTTCTCCTCGCAAATAAATCACCGATGGCGTCTCTGATCCTGGCGAACATCTCCATGTTGCGTTTGTCTACGGCCTTCTCGGATACGAGGACCTTCCACCGAACAGCCTTGTTTGGCGTTCTTCTTCCCACAATTTCCTCCCCTCCTGCGTCAGTGACACACGGCACACACGTTCAGTATGCGCTTCAACACAATTGCTCCTGTGTTTGTTTTTGGTTTTGCTCCGCTTGCCTATTGGTGTGTGTTTTTTGTTTTTTTCATGTCCAGTGCGCCCACGCGTTTTGTACAGGGGTCGCTGCGGCTGTGTCGTTCTTTGCAAAAAACAAGGAGGGTCGCATTAAAACATTACGACTGCAAATATACGTCCTGCTGCAACCAATTGATGAACGTGTACCAGCTGAAGTACCTGGGTCCTACAGCAGTAGCCCGGGAATGTGTCGTCACAAGAAGCACCAAGCGTCCAAATTTCATATTTTCAAACGGTTGGGGGACCGAGTCAAAGGATCTTGTCGGCCGCGGCAGAAGGATCTTGTCGCTACACTATCACGCGGGAGTGGAGTGAATACGATTGCCTTCCAGCGCACGAAAAAATGCGGTGACGCTGTGCTGGTAGAAGGCGCGAACAAGCGCGGGTGTGCTGCCGCGGCGTAACGGTTGCTGCTGCTGCTTCTGTTGACTATCCTCTTGTGCATACGAAATCTGCTGGTTTCCGCCTTGTTGTCCTCCTGCTTACTGCTGAAACTCCTCACTCTACAGCTCACATTGCGGCAGGGCAGTCAACCGATGAGGGCTGACTCCGTTGTGCCTCAGCTGGCTCTCCAGGCAGCCCTTTCTCGCTCTCCCTTGCAGCAAGATGCCGGGCAGACGAGCTCTCCTCTACGGAAGATAACACCACCCAAGCGAACTTCAGCGCTATATACACCTCCAAAAAACGATTCGTCCCAGACTTAACATGGTACCACGCTGTAGAGGCTTGTCTAAGGTTTCGTTCAAGGGTTGGCCATATTTTGGATCGCCACTACAGCCGGGGTTGTTGACGAAGAACGGGCGGTCACATAGGAATCCGGCCCGCGTCATCGATGCCTTGTCGCAATAAAAAAAAAAAATCGTTTTTTGTGGGGACTTGCAACACGGGTGGGAGCAATGGAGTGAAAATGGGGGGCCAGGGGCAGGGGGGCACGGCAACCGATGGACTGCGTGAAGAAGTCCTGTTTGCGTGTGCCAATTTGTTTGCCTCTCGTGAGGACATTGACGAAGCGCTGAGAGACATGAATCCCCCTGAGGTAGCCCCTGACTTGCCCCACTGTTACCCGAGTGATTTGCATGTACCTAAGACGTATAGTGAGGCTATGACCTCAGCGCATGGTGATATGTAGAAGGATTCGGTAAAGAGGGAGTTTAAGAGTCTGACGGAGGCTGGTACCTTTGCACAAATATCGTAGCAACCAGAGAGTGTCAAGGCAAAGTGGGTGTTCGAGTAGGAGGCTGATGAGTATGGATGGCCAACCAAAGTGAAATCACGGCTATTGGCGAGAGGAGATTTGCAAAAAGCCCATGTTGATTGCGGAGAGACGTATGCACCACTGAAGCGGTTTCTAGCGTTCGCTTGTTGGAAGCGATGGCGTATAAGAAAATTCTTTCTCTTCGTCATTTTGACATCAAGCAAGCATTTGTACAGTCGGATTTGGATGAGGATGTCTTCATGCGTCTGCCACAGGGGTGTGGCAGATTTTCGGGTATCATGGTGAGGTCGAACAAGAGTTTGTATGGCCATAAGTACGCGTTGAGGCAATGCCATTCGCACTTGGTGTTTGATATATATAGGTTTTATTCAGTGTCTGGCGGATACGTGTGTGTTTCAGCTGATCGACGAGGGAAGAGTGGTAGTGACTCCGGTAGTGCATGTGGATGGTATTTGTTTGGTTGGAGAGGAGGAGACGTGTGACCAGTTTGGTAGGGACCTCAACACTTTGGTACCGGTGAAGAATCTTGCGGATTTGAGGTGGTATTCTGGATGCTTTAATGAGAGAGATTGGGAAGCAGGAACTTCGAAGGTCTCGCAGCAGACGTACGCTGAAGAGTTGGGGATGGAGTTTGGGGTCGAGTACGGGAAGGAAATTCCCCCTCCTGTAGGGTTGAAGCTCGCAGAGTTTGACCAGGACGAGGACGCAGTGTCATGGCCTTTTCGTGAGCTGATAGGATTGTTGATGTGGCGGCAACGCAAACGAGGCCAGACATTGCGAATGCAGTGAGAGCGATAGCGAGGTATTGTGATGCTCCCAAGTACATCCATTAGCGAGCAGGTGTTGGTAGCTTGGGGTTTGTGGCAAGGACTTGGGTATTACATTCGGGAGGGGCAGTAGAAGGGTTGAGCATGGAGATGTTCGCAGACGCAGACTATGCACGTGAGGCTGCCTACAGGAGGTCTGTGTCAGGGAGATTGGTGATGTGTGGGAGGGGATGTATTTCTTGGTTTTCGAGGACGCAGAGGTGCGTTACGTTGAGCACTACAGAGGCGAAGTATGTCTCTCTTGCGGATGTGATTAAAGAGGTTTTGTTTCTGAGGCAAGTGTGGCGTTTCATGTTGCCAGATGCAGGTATGCTATGTATATCGGAGTTTGAGGATAACCAGGGGGCTATTCAGTTGGCGCAGAACCCCATTAGCAACAGTAATTCTAAACACATCGACGCAAGGCACCACTTTATCAGGGAACTTGCAGGCGGGAAGGAGATTTCTATTTTTCACGTGGGAGATTGTGAGTTTCATCGTAATTTCGTTATGAGTATGCATTAGTATTTTGGTTGTTGGGTATAGGTTGTGTGTGATCAAGCAACAACTGGGGTGGCAATGTTTTACATTATTGCCAATGGTTTTCCTCGATGGAGGGTGTTCTAGGCTGGGGGGGGGCAGTTAGATCAAGAAAGTTCGACGAGGTATAACTGGTATGTATGATCGGGGATGAGAATTCATGTCTTGCGTTTCTGAGTATATTTCCTTGAGTTTTGGAACTATTGAGGATCGAAAAGACATGGCATGGTCACAAGCAGGGGGCCTGATTGATATTAATGTTCCCATTGAATGAGGTTGAGCGGAATACCGTATTGTTGTGTGGTACGTGGAATGGGATTCCAGGACGTTCAAGGTACCCCTGTTGTATATTGCATCGCCCCCGCATGGGGGCGGGCGCGTGTATGTGCGCGTGGAAGCTAATCACAACAAGTTTTTCCTCCTTGGCGCTAGCAGGCCCAGTTGCCGGCACCCTATTCAACACACGTCTTGCGACAAGCTACCCCCAGTTCGGATCATCTTAACAGCTGTGTGCAACGCATGTGAGAATCCTTGGTCTATCGTGCTTGGCTGAGGTTGTACGCCGTGTCATACGCTGTGTGATGCCTCTCATGAGCCTCTGACTTGCTGTCACACATCTTCCCGTGTACGCCCTAGCTAGGTCGTAAAACTGTACACCGCCTGGTACTGGAAAAGGTTGCAGACATGGATTCAGTACGAAAAGTGTCCCCACGAGCCGTGGACATTTTTCATACTGAAGCCAAGTCACCCTTTGGCTGGCAAGGATCTCAGATTCCTTTGAGGGGCTGTAGCCCGTCGACCAATGGCTGAGAAACATTTTGTGACATTTATCGCGGACGCACTGGATACTACTGCACTGTAGGAGGGTTAACCCTAGAAACTACTTGTTTGACCTCCTACAAAGGTTTTGAAGTATTTTTTTTCTTTCAGAGCGGCCCGGTAGGGATGCATTTTCTTTTGCGACAAAAAACTATTCAGAGGGACCGTGACGCACATATAGTATGCTGTGCGCGAAAAAATAACAAAAATGATGAAGAGCGGAGGGGCATCCATGCTGGTCCATCTGTGACCAGGCTCGATAAATACCAAGGATGTTGGAGTCCATTTCACCTTCTAGGCACCAAACTGCAACCTACGACTTGCGCACAACAAGTAAAATCTGGGCTACAACCGAATTAAAATTCGGCACGAAAATGAATGGAGGCGTCTGCCCTGAAAATGTATTGAGAAATGCATACAGCCGATCATTGTCTTTCTCCCTACCGTGAATACGAGAGAACACCTGCGAGAGAGAAATTTGAGAGATGCCTGGAACGAGGGCCAACCCGGCACCCCAGACACCGGCACCCACGGCGGCTGTCGCTCCCGGGCCAGCCGCGGCGGCCCCGCCGGCGGCGGCAGCGCCGGTCCGGCCCACTCCGACGCGCACGCCGGCTCGGTTTGTGGCGGCGACCACCCCCCGCGCGGACTTGCCATGCTTTACCACGGCAGGTTCTTTGGGGGCGGCGCCATCGCTAGATTTGGCGAGGGTTGTCTGGCCCGGCGGGTCAACGGCAGACGTAGGCGACCGTGGAGTCGCCGTATACCAGGCCGCGACCATCGTCACGACTCTGTCCCCCGTGCTGGGGGGGGAAAACTTCATGGACGTCCTGCGTGACGCCGAGAAGACAGAAAAGTCAACCGGCGTGGGGTCTCCTACCTTCCGCCGGTTGAGCGCGGTGAAGCAGGTGGTGGAGCATGTTGTCGACCTAGTCCACCATCACGGTGTACTGCTTGTGTCGGGAGAGCATGTGCTGCTTCACGGGGCAAAGGAGGTGCAGCCGGAGCCCCTTTCCGCGGCCGGAGGGGCTTCCGCGGCCGGAGGAGCAGCCGCGGGAGGATCGGGGCGCTCGGGAGCTGGGGCGTCGGCTAGTGTTCCTCTGATGGCGGGTCTGCAGCACGTAGACCTCACCGGGGGAATGGGGGCCCGGGGCTCGACCGTGAGCGGAGCGAGCGGGAGTGGAGCGGACACGGCGGCCGCCAAAGCTCGTGACGATGCGGAGCTCATCAAGCTCTTGGACTCCCCTCCGACCGCCACGAACGCGAAGGTGGGTCTCGAATGCTATACCCCGCCGCCTTTCCCGATTTTGAGTTGCATGTTCGTTTGCTTTTGACTGATACACGTTTATTTCAACTATTATGTTTGAACGTTCGTTTCCGCGTGGTCGGAAGCTCGCCCGGTCAACTATTATGTTTGAACGTTCGCTTCCGCCTTGCCGGACGCTCGCCGCTTGGTTTGTGTCTTCCGGGGAGGGGGGGGGCTCGGCGCTTCTTCACTCGAGGCTCTATGGCGTAGCTCGCGCCCGCCCCTCACAGCTGGGCTGTCACCTACCACCACTTTCCCTACCACATGAACGACCTGTCAGATAACTTGGTTGGGTAGCCTCTAAACTGGCTCCTTCCGCTTGCGCATGCGTTCAATAATAATTTCGGCAAACGTAAAACACGTGCACACTACCGTCCTGGCCGCAGGGGTAGCAGCGGGTGTGCACAGAACGGTGGGTGTGCTTGGAGAGTAGCCTCACGCCGCCTACAATTGCGAAATACTCCGCTAACATACGGTAGTACGGGCCGCCCACAGCGCACGAAATGACTCTTCCCCTTTGCACTCAAATCGCCGGGATGCCCGCCCGCTGCGCGCCGGATAAATTCCGGGCACGCGCAACGACGTCCGATCGTGCCGGTGCGCAGACACGGTGGGGACAGGGCAAGCTACGATGGAATTTTGCATGTTTTTCGATTTACCACCGTGTAATTCCGGGTTTTCGATAGCGGGACGCCCCACGGCGCGTAGGTGCTATCGGAGCCCTCGGTGTGAGTCCAAAACACACGCACGTTTTGGCCTGCCTATTCGGGGCTGCTCCAGCACTAAAACACGTGCACAGGGCACGTGATTCACCCATGTACTTCGGATTCATTGCTTGCACACCTTACGCAATCATCACTGCGTTCTCGGTATTATGGTCGCGGTACGCCCCCCGGGCGTGTCGATCCCCGAACACATGTGTGTCCCCATATGGCGTACAATATCGCTTTTTTTTCTCGCGTAGACACAGGGGCAGGGCACGGTATTCGCTCGTTTATTTCGGCTTTTTCGGAGCGCTCGGGTACGCTGTTACGCAATTAGAACGGCAATTCCAGTATTGCGAGCGGGTAGCGTCACGATTGCTTACAATATGGCACTGTGCACTCAGGTATTCCGGCTTCATGGCCGTAATCCCTCACGTTTGCTTTAATCGAAATTCAGGGATCGGTCGCTGTAGCCACCTGGTCCGTACATAAATATAATTCTCCGCTCTTTGGGAATTCCGGCGTTGGCATACCTGGACGACTCCTTCCTTACCAACCTCGAATCTACCCAGGGCCAAACAGCGCGGGAGCAGTGGCTGGCGGCTTACGAAGCTGCGCATAATTCCGTCTTGGTATCTTACTTCTGCGGTAACTTCCTATCGCCGAAGAAGTACGACTGGCGACCGACCACGGTCCAAAAATACCTAGGCATGTTGTGCGACTCCACCACAGCAACATTTCGGGTGCCGCCAGACAAGCTGAACGCCGTGCACGACATCTTGCAAGAATCCCTAGCCGCGGGCAACATCTCCTTTCGGACTCTTCAACGGGTAGCCGGAAAAGTCACGAGCATGACGGTGGCCATCCGACCGGCCTCTCTATATACCCTGGCGATGTTCGCCGCTTTGGCAGGTCTGGAGCGATCCACCCTGCGGTCGGTGGATCTTTCAAAAGACTCGAGCGCAGATTTGGTGGGGGAAATGCGTAAGTGGCTGGACGTTACGGCTACCACGCACGAGGGCCCGTGCAAGCTGGCGCAACATTTCGCAGCAGCCCTCACCAAAGGGGCATCGGACGCGTCATCGGTGGCGTGGGGAGGAGTCCTGTACGCCGCGACAGACCCTTTCGAAGCTGGAGGGGTGTTCCCCCCGGAGTGGATGTCGACGCACATCAACCTGAAGGAGATGAATGCGCTGTACCACTTGCTGCTCCAATTCTGCCAACGACACCCGGATTGTCTCCGTCGTGGGCGCTTTCAACCGGGGTCGGGCGAAGAACCGGCGCTACACACGAGCTGCTTATCCGCCTGTTTGACCTTCAGATAGAGTATGACTTTCTTTTGTCCCTGAAGTGGGTTCCTACCGCGGAGAACGGTGTGGCGGACGCCATCTCGAGGCCATCACGGGAGACCATCATCCGACTTGGGCCGAATGCTTTCCGGAAGCTGTGGCAGGAGCTCGTTCCGTTCAACATAGACTTAATGGCTTGTACATCGTCAGCACAGCGTTCGTTGTCATCCGGAGGGGCGCTTCCATTATTTTCGCGGTACCATTGTGCCGGGTCTGCGGGCGTGGACGTCTTTGCGTAGAATGTGGCAGTCTTACCGGGCAGCTTTGTACCAGCGTTTGTTTTCTGTTTCCCCCCCCCAGTCATGGCGGGACACGTAGTCCAACACCTCGCCGAATGTCGAGCGCGGGCGGTAGTGCTCCTTCCGAGGGTGAGGGCTTACTGGTTTCCCCGCGTACTTTCACCGACAACTCGCTCTGTTGAGGTCGCTGGCATGAATGAAAGCGGAGTGTTCGTATGGCCCTCCGCGGAGGGTGTTCTCAAGATGTGGAGATACCCACGTTGGGCGATGATGGCATACGAAGTAGATTTCCGTCAAACATGAATCGAGGTGTACTGCATTTACTTATTTCGGTCGGTGGATATCCGCCCACTGATTGGTCTTTTGTTGTTTTGCTTGGTTCGGCACAGACTGCTCCGGCCGCAGGGGTAGCCTCCGTCCGGGACCTGGTTAACTTTGCGTTGCGTCCTCTGCAACCAAGAGAATGTTGCTCAGTTCAGCTTTTGCTGGGAGTGTGGTGCTCGACCGCTCCGCGGTGCCCCTTCTCCGCGCCTCGGCTCCGGGGCACCCGTTCTCATCGATCGCCCTAAACTGCTCGCCCGCCGGGTGTAAATGGAGTCGGCTATGCGCGGGCGGGCCGGGGAAGTCCGAAAACACAGGGTGGCCGATGAATTCGACCTCTTTTTGTTATCGTATTACGGCGGAAGCAAACGGTGGGTTCACGCTTCCCCGGACGACGTAGTCGATTGGTTTAGCTATCTGGACTCCCAGGGAAAGGGGACGAAGTTGGTTCATGATATCACATGCGCGGGAGTGGGGGCGAGCGATCGCCGGAGCTGCTCCCCGGGCGCTACGTGCGCAAAGCGATACGGTGCCGAGTGTCTCTCTACTCTAAGTTGAAGATGGCGTGTAAGGAACAGCTGGGCAAAGGAGATGACTGGAACCCCACGCTGGGGTTGGGGAATCCGTGTGCTAGTCCGACGGTAGACGCGTACCTCACGTTCACCGCCGAGGAACAGAAGCGGGTAGGAGTAACCGCGAAGCAAGCAGCGCCGCTTCTGGAGGACACCCTCGGGGAGGTGCTGCCGCATATGCGTCTGTGAGCGCTCGCTTCCGACTCTACAGCGGAACGCATCGCCATCACTCGGGAGTCATGCAACGGTAGGGATAGCACATTATCGCCCAGAACCTTCGGTTATTCAGATGAATAACCAACCAATAATCTTCGAATATCAACTCCGATTTCAAATTTCAATCGTGTTTCATCTAGCCCATCGGATTACCTGTCACGTCATATTTCATGTTGTGTCAATGTCCATTTCAGGCTGAGATATGGAGCTTCTCACGTTTGAGACTCAGAAGGGATTCGTGCACCCCTACCGTTGCATGAGTCTCGGGATGTCGCTCTCTTTTCACTTGCGCACCATTCTATGCGTCGGGGGTTTGACCTCTCCTTTACGTTGGGATCGCATGTCCTCCGGCTGCCGGAGTCGCGGGGGTTCATTTTAAACTTCCTCTTTGGAAAGACTTTGCGGGGTTCGACCGAAGCCATTGTAGTGCTTGCTAGCGCGAACCTGGACGTATGTGCCGTTAGAGCCGTGGCAGAGTACATCTTCGCCGCACAACAGGTAGACTGGGATTTGTCATCGGGCTACCTGTTCCCGTCGGTTCTGGTCGATGGCAGCCGAGGGAACCCGAAGCTATTGGCGACCCAGATGACGTCGTCGCTTCAGGCGCACCTCAGGGCGGCCAGTCTGCCCGCCCATTTTTCCATGCACTCGTTCCGAGTGGGAGGGTCGTTGAGCCTGTCCATGGGCGGCTCCGCCATAGAGGAGATCATGCAGATGGGGGGTTGGAAAACGGACTCGATGGCGAAGTACTACGTAGAGCCGTCTTCCAAACGGCAGCGGGCGGCCAATTATACGGCCACCAACGAGGAGCCATTATAGCCGGCGTTCGAATTCGACTTCGCCGCCTGTGCTCGCCGTAAGCCGTCGTAATTATCCACGTAACGGAATACACGAAAGTTTGGGTGAATCAACCAGGCTCCAGGCCAGTGGCTAAGGACAACACAGGGCTAGGAAAGTATGGGTGGAACCACGGGCCGGAGCTGCAGGCCTCATCCCAAAAATCCAATACTTACATTAAATGATCCTAGGCCAAGAGCGAAAACAACAGTAAATTTTTGCCCGAGCTGTCCCAACGGCTGCTTCTCTGCTCCCACCTACTTTGCATTCAGACGTACGTAGGCTCATTACGCAATAGAAATCACCACCCCGAGCTATACATGGAGAAGGGGGTCGACACACACACACGTTGAGCGAGAGCGAGACGGGAGCAGGGTGTGCCCTGCACCCACAGTACTCCTGTTAGCAATGGGCGGAGGAAGCGACAGGGAGAAAAAACGCTTGTTGGGTCACATCTCGGTAACCGCTCTTGTTCGTTACTTTTGACGGCAGTGGCCTCCTCTTGAAGAGAGGCAGATCACACCAACAACACACACACGTTGACGCTGCTACACACCACCATTGAAGCAGTATGCACTGCTGTACGCCCCTCTACACTTCTGCGCGAGGGTCTGTGTGCGAACTTTGCCTTCCGTGCTATGTAGTCTGGTCACCCATCACTCTGCGCTTTTCAGTGGCCTCCCTCTCATTCTTTCCTGCTGATGGTGAACACGCCCCTCCTCTTAAGCTGATGATAATGAACACCACCACCCCCTCTCTTGCTGATGAAAATGAACATAGCTGACGATGATGAACACAACCTCCCCCTTCTCAACGCGCGAGCCTACTGCAGGTACGGTTTTTTCAACACAAACGACTAGTAGTATTAGTAGGTTGTGATAGCCACTCGACGAGTATCGTCGCGTTGCTTGTCTGAAGCTTTCCGCGACACGCTCGCCCACCGATCACGACAAAGAGTTCTGTACACAGAGTAGACGACATAAGATATCACACCCCGTGAACAATTTTCATTTTTCAAAGCTCGATTACTCCACAGCAGAAAGCGTGCCCGGAGCTTTCCGAAACAAACCTATCGTTTGACATCCTCGTCGTCGTGAACTAACATTATTATGTCACCTACTGCCGGTACATGCGATGCTTAAGAACATGGAGCA